GTCCTGCGAAACGTTCCCTAGTTTCCGAAAGGTTTTCACACTGAAACAAATTTCCAATGCGCATTATTTCTACTACCAACACATTTGTATCATTGCACTTACAACGATGCAACAATAATATTGATAAGAAATTTTCAGCAATCAGGGAGCACTTCACACACAGAAATGTCAGTTGCTGCAACTGAACAGAGGCCGGATGAAACCTTAGTGACAAGAAATGAAAATTCCACAACAAGAAATTATATTTGTATTAGTGACGACTGAAAACATTCGCTGTGAACATCCAGCTACATTAAAATTCGATTGAGACAACTGAGAACGATTGATTGAGTAAAGACCTCACAAGAATCTCTTTGTTTCCACTACCGAGTTTTCGTCTGACCTCCAGGCGACAGAAAATTCAGTTACACCAACGGAGTTGTTTTTCCCCGTGCAGCCCTTATGAAATTGACGATCTTGAGGCTAACAAGCGTCAGTCGTCGGGCTCGAAGGGGTGAGTGGGAGAAGCAAAGGGGGAGAAAAAAGTAAAAATAGGCGTAGCCTACTTCGTGAAAATCACTTCGAAGGCGTGAATAATTCCGAATACTGGTTCAACCCTCTGGTCCCTGAATATAAGCAATCTCTTCCTGACAAAATATCAGATATGATTTAATTAGTTAATTCAGTATCAAATAGTATAATTTAACTTTCAAGCGTTTCGAAACATCGGCGGTACATACACATGTGTACCATTCGGGACGAGAGGTTTAAACAATGGAAGGTGAAAATTCACCGCGAACATCGGGCGACACGGGGCCGTGATCGAAAAATGTCGCGCTTTTCAAGAACGATATCGAAATTCTTTGTCGCAACGCGCGCGCGCGCGGAGGGGGGTGGCCCGCGTGAAGATTGTCAAAAAATTGCTCGGACGGGCATCGGACAAGGGCGCACGCTTCGGCGACTGGAAACTGCATCTCCCGCAGGAACCAACGCCCCATTCGCTCCGCGGGAAAGCCCCCAGACCGCGTGCAAACGTTTCGAATCACATCTCTACTATCGTTCGCGACCGCTCGGCCGTGACAGTAGTCGGCTGGTGGTAAAAGCGTATCTGGGGCTGGCGCGGCGTGTTTACAGTGTTCCCTCACACCTGATCCTATAATGCCCCACTAGCGAGGGAGAGGATGATGGCAAAAGGGGGGGAGGGGGGGGGGGNNGGGGGGGGGGGGGGGGGGGACGGCGCGTCAGGCCGCGTCGAGTGAAAGGGTGAAACGCGGCAGAGCGTGAGCGGACTTAAAATGCGCGCGGAGGTCGCCGCGTCCTCTTCTCGCGAGATACACCGCAAAACGTGAGTCATCCCGGCAGTATTTCTCAAAGTCAGGATCGCGCGGCGCACGCGAAGGTACCGTTAGCTACTACCACCTGCCTCCGTCAAAATTCTACTTGGAAACTCCGGCCGCGATGCACCCGCCTGTAACAAATGACACCGCGGTCGGATTACGGTTGTTGTTGTGTTATCGAGCCCGAGAAACTTGGCCCCCACTTTCGAGGATATATTATCCATAAGTGAAAATAGTGGAGAAATCGGGGAAAAAAGATGCAAATTGATTATACGCTGTATTGCATTTAAAGGTGACGCCGAAAGTTTGATGATAATTCAGAGCACTACTGCACTAATGGGTGATATATTCTTAATGAGCGACCTTGCGTAAGTGAACGAGCGAGAGAGACTTTGGTAGATTTATAAGAAAAGAGGGGGAGGGAAGAGGAATGTGAGATGCTAAATCGTAGGGCGTGATATCGGTTTTTGTCGAGAAATGTATAGACGGTAACGTATCTGAATATAAAATAATAATTCCTCTTTCAATCTATAATCAATCGGTAGTTACGTAACACTGTGTGTGTTTGCGCGCCTCGTGTAGGTAAAAAAACAGCAGCGAGCGTAAATTTTTTTTCCTCCCCTCCCCCGTAACGTACAGCTGTCAAAGTATTAAACTCGTATCACCTATTGGTAACCACTTTGAAACACTACGCTCAAAAATCGTAAATTTATCAATCCAATATTTCAGCCCGGTTGAAATATTTTGAGAGTTTTATGTCATGCTGCTCAGCGTTATCGACTTACAGATCGCAAAATCAATATACATGACGTTCCAGAGGAAAGAGCAGGAACGGTTTCCATTTACGATAAAACCGGTATAAATCCTGCGTGAGCGCGATGTTGCAATGGCCGTAAACAGGGAGATACCAGAAGAACGTTATCCTTTCACTCTTGATTGATTAATTAAATCGTCCATTTAATTAAGCGATATAGAGCGAAATTATTTTAATTAAACGTATCTAGTTTCCTTCGCGGAATTATCCAAGGACCGTTCATGCGGACAGGCTGTTTTGCGAATTTTAATACACAAACGCATAAAGTTGCGCGTTGTGCTGACCACATGGCAATGCTCCGCAATGGGGATCAAATATGATACCGATGCGCGATTCAGTTTTTATTAATTTCTGTTTATTTCCTCGAAAATGGCTCGATCGAATTCGATTGAACTAAAGCAAGTTTTACGAGCTGACGAAACGCATTGAATTTCTATTCGACCAAACTAAATGAATATTCCATATCCAATTATATATATTTACGCCGCTCTACGCAAATTAATGGCCGTTTTAAGCGTTTGTTTTTAGAAAATATATCGAGTGGGTCGCCGAACAGCGGCTGATAAGTGTGACTAACAGGGCGAATTATATACGCGAAGCGAATAATAACACGTCGCTCGCGTAGTCGAGCGGAAGAGCCATTTTTACGACGGGCAAACGGAAATAGCGTGGTTAACGTGGCCATCGCTCGATGTTAAGTCGTCGATAAATTAAAATTTCTCTATGAATATTAATCACATGTGATGTGATCATAATCATGGAGCATGCCATTAGTTCCATAGAACACGGTCTAATTGAATACTTAATTAATAGACAGTTTACTCGATGTATGTGCTCGCGCACGCGAGTGTGTGCGCGCGTGTGTGTGTGTGTATGTGTGTGTGGGAGCGAGCGAATTGTTCGAGGAATTAATTACCGCGAGAGATTCGTTCTTGTCGAATAATTAATCGCGATAGAGAACAAATCGGCCTGATTGGGGGAAAAAAACTGGTGGAGTTTCCGACGTAGAAAGATTCCTTGAATTCGCGCAATCCCCAGTTCTCTCAACATTCTCAAGATACGCAAGAGCAAGCGCACGACGAACGTCCACTCTAGCGCCTAACGTAATTGACAGTTGGAAGTTTATCGTTGAAATAAATGATTAACACATCCAGCTCCCGCGGCAGCGAAATATTGCATATCAAAGGCATAATCGATGATATATTTCGATCCTCTTCTCGATATCCTTTATATCAGAGCGTACCGGACGAAATTGGCAGTCCGCTAATGGAAATAGTAACATGCGGATTCGCTGCTCCAGATGAAAAGTTAATTATGCAATCGCTCTGCTTTTATATACGGCTATCGTTTACAAATACGTGCGCGCGCGCGCACAGATACAAATTTACATACACGTACGTATTACACATATTAATTATATTATTGATACTATTGGATAAAACGTTATATCATCATTCCCGATAAATCACACCGTTGTATCAATTTCATATTACATTGATTGCCTATTAGCCAAATCTGATAGGCCAAATATCGCTGGGAGGTTCCCTCATCGGAGAAACACTGGAAATTATACAGATATTAACAAACTACAGCGTTTCGGGAATCGTACTTGCCAAATGGCGGTTGCGTTTGTTTATGCGATTGTGCTTGGTAGAGGGCGAAAACGTAGGAGGGAGGAGGAGCGTGGGAGAGGGGGGAGGGGGTTGAAACGAAAGCAGAATGCGGAATAAAAAGCGCGTGGGAGAGAGAACCAATACAGATTTCTCGAACGAGTCGCGTCGCTCCGTCAAGCTTTCCCAGGAAAATACCGCGTCTTATGCCCGGCTCGCCGTCTCGCGACGACAATTTCAATGGGCTTCATTCCCCGAGCGTAATCGCCAGGCATCTGTTTAAAATGATCGGCTGCTGTGCCGGACTGCCTAGGGTGAAGAACCGTATTACCGAGGTTAGAAGAACGTATCCCGATCGAATATATCAACGAAAAGTTAATTTTACCATTTTCAAGTGTCTTATTTTACATCAACGTTTAAATATTGATCGCTCTATCCGAATGTTTCACGTTCGTTTCTACGACGCTTTGACGAAGCCTTTCTTATTATTCGAATGTAATGTTGTTGCGTGAATTATTGAGCCGTCTAAAAAGTATATCCAGCTGGAGGAAGGACGAGATTAAAGTCAGATGATTCGGAAGCATTCTTTAATTGTAAAAGAAGTTTAATGTCTGATAAACTATATACAATATGAATGCTAATACATTCAATTTTCAGGGGGAAAAAAATGCATAATGCTATTTTCGACTTACTTTTTATAATTTACTAGAAAAATTGGATTCTGTCGGTAACAGGGTCAGCCTCGGTAATGGGCACTTTTACTCTACGCTGAAAAAAAAAGCGCCGCCGTTCAAGTAATAATTACTTGTTTCTAGCAAAATGGTTACTCCGACACCTCACGAGTAGTCCGGTAAATACTCTTTCAAATTTAAAATCATTTCACGCTTAATTTCGCGCGGTAATTAATTTCCAAATAAAGATATCGCGCTCGAGCTAACACTTATCGCGTAAGAATTTCTCAAATATACTTCGAAGCAGACAAAAATATTACTCGACTCGGGAGGGGGCCGTAAGACAATTGCAATTGCGTTTATTCGACGCCAGCACTATCCTATCCCGTGTGCCCGTCGCATGCGACGAGCAATTCGAGGAACCGTTTGAGAAACCCTGGCGCGCGACGTGCCCGAGATCCCGTCGCAGCCGTCGCGCTCTCTATTCCCTTTTCCCGACCCCGACGGGCTCTCACGCCCGCAGTAAACAATACGACGTCCCGGGCTATAAGCGGCTCACGTCTCACGTGTCACGTTCGGCCATTTGCAGAAGCCCGAGCGGAGATAGCCGGCCCGGCGGAGAAATTCGTGAGGCCCGGCAGCACGCTGCAGCTGCACTGCCTCGTGAAGAAGTCGACGGAGGTGCCGTCGTACCTGTTCTGGTACCACAACCTCCGCATGATCAACTACGACGTCGAGCAAGGCGTGAACGTCAGCACCGACCTGGCCGGCCGCGAGAGCTGGCTGGAGGTGCCGAGGGCGTCGGACCGGCACTCGGGCAACTACACCTGCAAGGCGAGCAACGCCCAGACGGCGCGCGTCCTCGTGCACGTGTTCAAGGGCGACAATCCGGCCGCGATGCAGCACAGCATGGCGACCTCGCCGTCGATGATGGCCTGCACCGCGCTCCTCACCATGTTCGTCACGCTTAAGCTGGCGCTGCAGACGAACTGGTGCTTGTGACGTGCGTGAGTGTAAGGGGGACGCTGTCCGAAAGCTGTTAGCGGAATTGTGTATAATTATCGTCATTAATCGCGCCGCTCTCGAGCGCCGCGAGAGAGAGAGAGAGAGAGAGAGAGATTTCGCGCGGTAAGACTACACCGGCGCGGTCATATCACGGCGGTGCGCGAGCCAGTCGCGGAGATCCACCTGGTCGTTAACACGAGACCGAGCGGGAGAGCCGTCTGTGTGTGCGTGTCTCTCTCGGAACCGCGGGATCGGGTGTGATTGATCGCTGCTTATCCAGAAGCGGGCGAACACGGGCGGTGGAGAGAGCAGCTCGTTCCTGATCATTCGCGCGCTCGAACCCCGCTCGATCCCCGCGTTCATCGCGGTTCGGCTCGCACGATGTTCCGGTCGGATACGCGACGAACGAGGCGACGCGTTAAAAGCGCGATTACGTGGTCGCGCGAGCCCCAGCTCGCTGACGAATCGAGGCGCTCGACCGGCCGTGTCCACCGAGATCCCCCGGTGATCAGGCGACGTCGTCGTCTTCCCTGACGACGGGGGCGATGCACAGCCGGGGATATAATGGCTCACCGTCTCCAGCCGCGGACGGACGAGCGAGCGAACGAGCCGGTGTCGAGAAAGCTCGACGGTGCTCTCTAGGATAAAATGCCACCGCGTAACTTCGAGATGGGTCCGCACGTGTATCATCCATTCTCCCGCCGATCGATCGTGTTACATTCCGTGTCACCGTGTTGGAACGAGGAGTATTAGGCCGTAATGCGGACGGCGGGGCTGCGTTGTGTCGTCGGATCAACTCCTGCGAGGGATCGCGTCCGACGGCCGATCGATCGCCCCCGTGCATCCGCGTGACTCGCGCGTGAGACTCGCGCGCTGCGATTGGGAAATATTCGACGCTGCCGAAAAGGCAGACTCATCAATCTAGCGGCTGATACGAGGAACGTCGACATCCTGACGGACGTGGTGATGCTACCCGCGAGAGACGCCGGGGGGGGGGNGGGGGTGATCTCTTTGTGAATACGAGATCGTTCCACTTCGGGACCGGACAAATGGTGGATCTCTCGTGTGCGTGCGCGATTAAGTGTTAAATTTAAGCTGATAGACCAGGAGGTAAGCGTGGAAATCTCGATGACGGCGGGTTTCCCGGGGCGGAAAGTACCCGGGAGCGAAAGTAAGTGATTGATAGTGCGCGGATCATGTGGACGTGTCGTCGCGCGAACACGTCGCGTGTGTCCCCCCCCCCCCC